TGTGAAAAAGTGCCATTAATAAGAAATGAAAAATACAAAACAAAAGATCGGAACTTTCAAACAATAACTGATGCCTTATTGGTCTTGATGTTAATTATCTTTTATGTTTATATTATGACATAATATCTTCCCATTTGTCTTTTTTAGTTCCTTGATAACAACTTCTTTGAATCTACAAAGTTGTCTAATGTCATGCCGAAGCTCAGTTTTGTTGATTTTGTAGGTAATTAAAGAGCGTAAACATCAGGTGATACGGTAGACCCAATAGAGCCGCCTGGCATCATAATAGTTGGCCAGAACCTGCTCACCTCACCACGTCATGGCGGTTGTGTTGTGTCTAGTGACTCACATCAGTTAATAGTTGGTTGCATATTCTTAAGGTACGACTTTTTGGTTATCACATCTAAATATATAATCCTTCAAACATATACTGTACTCCTTTAAATACAAACCCATGCTTACAAACACATGTTTCCTCGCTATCAAGAACGGTAGCGAAAAAATACAATTGGTCGTATGTTAAGTATGTGTATATGCTGGCCCACGATCTCAAGATACATATATTAAATTAATGAATTTATTGTATGTTTGTCTAATAGTGTGTAATAAAATTTCAATAACCATGAGCTCGGTTTTCATAAGTGGCATTGGTAGAAATAAGCTAAAATCAAGTTAGATTATAAAGAACACTTTTCTTTTCTAATTCTGTAACTTGTAATTCAGTAATTCCATCTTCTGCCTCCCTTTTTAGGAAACAGCTTCCATACTTAATTTATTGTACCTGCATTTGTTTTTGTACTCGGAGAGCTTCCAGCTCCCTCACTGTCGACCATTGTCATCAGCACCGCGAATGTAACAGCCAATTAGCATACTAAATCCACTATCAATTAGGGACATAAAATTTTAGGAAAGTCGGAATGGTTTGACGTTCCGTTGACGAGGACGTTAATCTGACTATCATCTTGGAGGTAACTGCTGAACATTTATCTTGATGCATAATTAAAAAAACTGTGATTAATAATTTAATCTCAGTAATTCCTGTTGGTCTTTATTTAGCTTAACACATTAATTATTATTATTTACTAAATAAAGCTATTAACACTACATATGTCACAATATAACCCAATAAATTACGAAAAACAAGTGGAAATATCTAAGAGACCTCAGGACACCCTCCCTAAAACTCATCAAAGTCAGCGAATTAATATTCCCAATGATGAAAGTTAGGCTGGGTCGCCCAGCTCGATCATCCATTCACATTAGCATGATAAAGTTAAATCACTTGGAGCCAGTCCTCGACCCCCACCAAAACTTTCTCTGCCGGCAATAGCTCAGCTAATGCGGCTGCTGATCGACCTCATGATCGACCTTCATGAAAACTTTACCTTTTGCTGATACTTGAACAAATGTGAGCACTGATTGATTTGTACGAGCAAGAATGACCATTAAGTGGACTCAGATTGACTCTATAAAACCTTACTCCTCCTTGGGTAATAATGTAGCTCCTCCATTAAGACTTTACTATATCCCAGGGCAACAGTTCTCCAGTTTAACTAGTGTGGTTATTGATAACCTCCCCATCAACATCCTGTGGTGTAATATTTCTAGGCAATAACTCAACTGGAAATGTGAACAATACCCTCCGACAGCAGCTAAGCTGATGAGTGTAGCCTTATTGTTGAAAGTAATCGCTGTTGACAGGTTTCACGATTGGAATGATTCACTGTTGGCAGGAGTAACTGTTGGAAGGAATCATTGTTGGAAAGTTTCACTTTTGACAGGTCTCACTGTTGGTAAGTGTCACTGTTGAAAGATCTCACTGCTGGAAGGCTTTACTACTGAGAGTCTAACTGTCCGCAGGTGTTAGCTATTGTAACATCTCACTGGTGGAAAGTTTCTTTGTCGGTAGGACTCATTGCTGCAGGATACCACTGTTGGAAGGTTTCATTGCTAGATGGCTGAAAATGTTAACTGTTGAAGTTTTAACTATTTAATATTCTCACAACTAGGGCCTTATAGTTGAAATATTTTACTAATTAATGATACGAGAATTATTGTTATGATTGGAAGGGAACACTGGAAGGTAACAGTTTGGGTTAGTACCGCTGTTAGTAAGTATCACTGCTATGAGGTACAATTGTTGAAGAAATTTATTGTTTTGGAAGTTCTCATCATTGAGAATTACAAACCTGGCCCTTCTTCAACACATCTGTTACATACTTGGGTTTTCTACACCATCCCAGCTGCTGACATCTACACTATCATGTCTTAGTTACATAATAGGACCCTCCTTACCGCCCTGCTTAAAGACTAGGGCCCCCTCTACTGTCTAGGGTACAGGCCAGAGTTCTCACCATCCTAACTATAGCTTTCTTCAAGACCTCTCACCCAGGGGGCCCGTTTCTTTTATGAGTGACTGTACATATATATCCTCATCGCTCTAGATACGTTTCTTCAAGGCCCTGGGGGAGATCTGCAGCCCCCCCCTCCCAAGCCCCAAAAAAGTAAGAGGTGTCATTTGCACCGACTCAATCACAATGATGCACTCTTCTACTTGACTCCCTCCCCTGAGTACATCCTCTTCGCCTGACATCCACAGACCTAATTCTCTGCACAGTAATAAAGATCCCCCTCTCTTACGCTACCCACAGCCTTGACTTATGCGAATAATGCCCGGGGAATGGAGAGGGCGCAGCCAAAGCCTCATTAATGAGATGCTCAGCCACCAGCTGCTGGTTCTTAATTGTGTCTCAAGTCATTCCGGAGTTAAGTTTGGTAAGTAAAGATTGAGAGGACGTGGTGGTGGGGCCAGGGGTCTACAGACAATGGATGTGTGTTGGTGAGGATTAGGGAGAGAGAAGGAGGAACTGAAGGAGGGTGAAGAAAAGAGTGGGGCAGAAAAACAAAGAGAGATCGTCAGACTGAGAGAAAGAAGGAAAAACTTTGGTAGATATAGAACAGGCGAGGGATAAATAGAATGACAGATGGAGACAGATATAAGGATAAATAAGAAAGAGACAGAGAACGAGAGGAGAATATGTATATGTGTACGCATTGTACAGTTCCCAAACCAAATACCTGAATACTTGGCAATATTTTGTATCTACTTATGGGCTATATATTTCATTGATTGATACAGTATATAATAACGCTGTATCTTTATTATGTATCATGTCGGAACCATAAAATGAAAAAAAAATATAAAACAATGAGGAAAAAGAGTAATACGAGAAAATTCCAATAACCTCAACTAAGGAAGCACAAGACATTACAGGCCAGATACCGCCAAGTGTCCAGGGAATTGTATCCGCAATTGTATATGCCAAAGTGCATGTAAGTATGGGAGTGTCCATATAAATACATACAGTATATTATGTATGTACTGTATAATATTACAGTGAAGTTGTCTCCCACCTCACTAAGAATGATAACATCCTCACTGACCCGGCTTAATACTTTTGAGTTCACTTTTACCCCTAACAATCACTTCTCTACCCCCATCTTGATTTATCTACCACTTATCTTCGCCCCTGTCCCCTCACATCACCATCCCCACCTCATCTCCCTCACTCTCACTACCACTCCTTCTCACTACCACCCCCTCTCACCACAACCACCCCTCACCATCACTCCTATCCCCCTCTCATCACCACCTCCTCTCACCACCATTTCCATCCCCTCTCACCACCACCCCCTCTCACCACTACCCCTCTCTTATCCGACTTACCCACCATATGATGCTTCACTTCTCACCCCAAAATTAATTCTCACCACTTAAAGTTTTAATTCACAATAATACATTCAGGTCACCTACGACTTCCAAGATCACGAGAATTGTGGGGCAGGGATGGAAGGATAGATGAAGAAAATGGGAGAGGATAGACAGGATAGGATAAATGAGGATAATAGGCGAAAAATGTGAGGACTGAGGCAATGGGGAGAATAGGAGCAAATGGAATAATAGAAGCAAGGGGTAAGGGAAGGGTAAGAAGAGACGGCGATCAAAAGGGGAGGATAGAGACTAGGATGAGGAATTTCTGGAATCTACTTACGCGATCTTAAAGTCATTGTGATCACATGAGTGCCTATGGTAACAGAGGAGTGGTTGTGACAGTCTGGGAACTTTGTAAACAGGGGGGGGGGAGATATAATGGGGAAAGAAAAATACAGAATATAGGAAGGAAAATAATATAATAATAGTGATAACAGATATAAAGATAAGTGATAACATGGAACATAAAAATAAGAACAAAGGAATAATATGATAACAGGCAAGGGAAAGTGATAACAGGTGATCAAAACAAAGGAGAAAAGGTGGACATAGCTGTGATATTGAACGAAGGAAAATAAAAGCAAGTGAAAGATGAGTGACAGCAAAGGGGAAAGAAGTGAGAACAGACAAAGGAAAATGAGAACAGAGGGTAATTATAACAATAAGAGAAATAATATGATAACATGGGGAAGTAAAACGACAAATGAGAGGACGCCATGATAACAAACAAACTAGAAGGTGAATCAGGGAAGACGAATGATAACAGAGAAACAAATTATGATAACGAGCGGACGTGAGAGACAGCAAAGGAAACAATTATTACTATTAAGGAGGAGGTGATGCTAACAAGAGGAAGACAACAAGAGTATAACCATGATAACTAACAAAGGACAATGATAACAGAATGGAATATTATAACAACAAGGATAAAAAGTGCAAGCTAAAGGTAGGAAAATTATAACAGGGGGAATAATTATATAATGGGAGGAAAAAATGTAACGGAAAGAAAAGTTGAGTGGCTATGTAATAAAGTAACGAGTCAGAAGAATAAATAAGTTGCCCAGAGTTTTCGTAAGAGGAGCTAGAGTTTAATTATAAGGACTCAATAACTGCCTGTGTGTGTGTCTGTCTGTCTGTCTGTATCTTGAATTTTTCCATTTATATCAAAGTTATATCTAACTATATTTCTTCTTATCAGTTGTCTGAGGAGGGTTAATTATTTTTTTACCTTTGATCTTTCTTCTTATATGGAAGTCATTTTGTTCTGTAAAGGGCATTGTGTTCTGGTGAGTACATAGTGTTCTGTAGAGGACATTGTGTTCTGGTGAGGACATTGTGTTCTGGTGAGTACATTGTGTTCTGTAGAGGACATTGTGTTCTGGTGAGGACATTGTGTTCTGGTGAGTACATTGTGTTCTGTAGAGGACATTGTGTTCTGGTGAGTACATTGTGTTCTGTGGAGTGCATTGTGTACTGGTGAGTATATTGTATTCTGTGGAGGACATTGTGTTCTGGTGAGTACATTGTGTTCTGGTGAGTACATTGTGTTCTGGTGAGTACATTGTGTTCTGTGGAGTGCATTGTGTACTGGTGAGTATATTGTATTGTGTAGAGGACATTGTGTTCTGGTGAGTACATTGTGTTCTGGTGAGTACATTGTGTACTGGTGAGTATATTGTATTCTGTAGAGGACATTGTGTACTGGTGAGTATATTGTATTCTGTAGAGGGCATTGTGTTCTGGTGAGTATACTGTGTTCTGTAGAGGACATTGTGTTCTGTAAAGGGCATTGTGTTTTGTAGAGGGCATTGTGTTCTGTAGAGGACATTGTGTTCTGTAGAGGGCATTGTGTTTTGTAGAGGGCATTGTGTTCTGTAGAGGACATTGTGTTCTGTAGAGGGCATTGTGTTTTGTAGAGGGCATTGTGTTCTGTAGAGGACATTGTGTTCTGGTGAGTACATTGTTTTCTGGTGAGCACACTGTGTTGGGTAGAGGAAATTGTGTCCTGGAAAGGACAATATATTATAAATTTCCCTTCTTTTTATCCATCTTCTATCTTTCTTCCCATTTCTTTATTTTCTAGTCCTTCATCTTTGGGTTGCTTATTTCTTCATTACTTTTATTTGTCTTCTTATGATTTAGTCTTATTTTTGTGTAATATATATTTTGTTCTCCTTTATTCCTCATCGTCACTTCTCATTTTTTTTATAATTTATCCTTACATTTTCTTTGTGTTTTTGTTATAACTTTTTCAGATCTTTTTTATTTTATTCTTGTATGTCTTTCCTCAATATATGATTTCCTTTATTCATATATTATTAGTTTCTTATTCCGTCTAACTGATTTTCTAGTAATATGTTTTCATGATTTTCTTCTTCTCTTGGATCTCTTTCTATAACTAATTTTTCTCTTTCATCCTTTGCCTCTTTCTTTTCCCTCGTTCTTTCTCCTCTTCCCCGCCCTCTTCCTTCATCTTCTCGTGGTCTTCCTTTATTTCCTTCTTCAGGTTTTCCTCATCATCATCCTCCTTTTACTTTTGCTCCTCATCCTGCTCTTACTCCTTCATCTTTTCTTGTTGGTCTTCTTCCTTGACTGCCTCCTCCTCCTCCTCCTGCACTTGAACGAGGATGCGTTGTGAGAAGCGAGAAACATAAACAAGATTGATATTTTGGGGCGAGTTGTAGAGGGGAACATCACAGCATCGACGGAGGATAGTGAAAGACTATGTATGTATGTATGTATGTATGTATGTATGTATGTATGTATGTATGTATGTATGTATGTGTGTGTGTGTGTGTGTGTGTGTGTGTGTGTGTTAACCATGATTCCGGCCTACTGTGCACCATGCTAAGATCAATTTTGTCATAGTTATCAAAATTTCTACTTTATTCTTTATTTTCCTACTTTACTTCTTATTTCCTTAATTCATTGGTATTACATTCTGTTGTATTGTTTCTCCTTTTGCTTTTGTTCTTCGCATTAACTTTGTTTCTTGCTCTCCCTCTTTACCTGTCTCTCTCTCCTTTTCTCTATCTCTCCCCATACCATGCTTCTTCTCTTTATTCTCGGCTTTGTCCTGTAACCTAACCTAACCTAACCTAACCATTCCTGCGTTATTCTGTCCCTATGAAATTTCAGGTTCGATTCCCAGAATTAGTTTTCTGTTTGTTATATTTCTCATTAACATCACAGCTGGGCGGGATGCCATGATTATAATTGTTGTCAAAGTTGTCACAATTATATTTCTCGCGTCACTGAAATGCTAATTTTTATTATGATGCCATATAATAATTTAAATTTCGTTATATCGCTGTCGGTACTTGCATTAGTAGTTCATTCTGAATTCAACAGAGGCACAGATAATTACTTAAAGAAACTACACATATGTACGTTATAGATAGGTGAGCCGTAAGTTTACAAAGAAATAAATATATCGGTAAATTAATCAGTCAACTATATTTTGAGAAGCTGGGCCTCACTCTGTTTCAGGTTGAGTTTCAGGCGCTCCCGCTCTCCCAGCTAGGGATGCTGGACATACCGCTGCCTGGTTAGGGTTACAAGACCTCCCGCTCCCCCAGATCCTCCCCCTTTCCCAGTGTATGTGTCTGTATGAATAAGTGAGTTTTATTAATAAAGGGAAAATATAAAATACGAAATGGGCAGTATTAGGGTAGAGAGTGTGTAAGACTAGTGGTGGACGTGCTATACTGGAATACTGTATGTGTCCGAGGCTTCCCTAGTCCAGTCAAGCTGAGGAAACGAGGGCAGTTGAGTGGAGCGTCGGCCACACCAATTCATTGTGTACCGAAGGCTTAGTATACAGTGTGCTGTACTCACACTGCCCCTAACAAACTACCATGCTTGTGTAACCCAATTTCGCTTTCACACGACTTATTTTTTTAGGCCAAAATATCAAAGATCAAATACGTTGTTTAATTAGCTAATAGAAACTGGGATGACCGAGCGGAAAATTTGTTTGTGCAAGTTCGTTCAGTATATTTTAATATGCCACATGCGACAATGTGGTTTTTTTGAGGTTCAAAGTTCAGAGGTCATGTTCACTGGGTCAATAATTTATCAGGATTCTGGGCTGACAGAGCGAAAGAGATTAGTACGTTTATATCAGTAGAGTTTTATAGGACTCGATACGTGTTGTTTTGCTGGTCTAAAGGTCAAAGGCCATAATCACAGTCACTTTTTCTCCAACAAATGAACGGATAGAGCGAAAAAAAATATCTTAAATCTTTCATGAGGCTGACAGGTCAAAGTTGAAGCACACATGATCACACTGGCGGTGCCCTGCTATGACGCCTCACTTTAGCTCAGTACAGTTTAACTCATACGTTATAGCAGACCATAACCTGTTAAAACATGAACCCAAAAGTTAATGACATCCTTGTTTATAGCTAAATCATAACTTGATGATATCTGACTTTTTGATGGATTTCAAACAAAAGTCGAAATCATAGTAATTATGCATTATGTATTAATCCACAGGCTGACATCATAAGCATTCATATGGCCAACTTGACACCAGTCACCACATTCATGTCCTTTCTGACATCCTTGTCTTTCAGTCAGCCAACTTACATCATCAGCTTTCAACCAATTTCTGTATACCTCTGACGTCACCTGAGCAATAATTAAGTATAATTAATTTGTTCTAGTTCAATATTTACACTGTTGGACACACGCTTTAGCCGCGTGAAGGGTTTTGATGAAGCCTCACCGTGAAGTAATTGATCGTGACTGTTATAGCCAAATGGATTTATGATAGGAAATAAATAGACTGGTCCACATGTTTCAGGAAGAGTGATGATATATATATATATATATATATATATATATATATATATATATATATATATATATATATATATATATATATATATATATATATATATATGATATATATATATATATATACTGTATATATATATATAATGATATATATATATATATATATATATATATATATATATATATATATATATATATATATATATATATATATATATATATATATATATATATATATATATATATATATATATATATATATATATATATTTATATATGTAAAGATATTTGCGTAAAACATATTCACGTACAAACACAAAACAAACAAACAAACACACACACACACACACACACACACACACACACACACACACACACACACACGCTATGCGGCGTTTTGGACAATGGATAACCCGGTATCCCTGGACTGAAGTGATCACGGTAGACGATGTGCAGAAAAAGTGGGATAATTACCTGGACACTATCACCAAAGCCTACCACCACTTCTTTACAACCAAAACACTGAGGATCCACCCCGATGATGTCCCGTGGATTACGCCCCGCATAAAAAGACTTATTGAGCAGCGCAACAAGGCATACTACACCAACAACCGAATGTACAAAAGTCTAAGTAACCAGGTCATCAGGGAAATCAAATCGGCCAAGAAGACTTATTATCCCAGGAAAGTGCTCGGCCTCAAGGAGGTCGGCATCGGTCAGTGGTACTCCAAGGTAAAAGATCTCTGTGGTCTCAACCGTCAGTCTCCCACAATTCCTTTCATCTCACATTTACCTAGTGAGGAGGCAGCTGAGATAATTAATAACCATTTTGCTACCATATGTCATACCTTACCCAGTCTTAACCTCACTCTCCTCCCAGCTTACTTACCTTCCCCCTCCCCCCCTCCCAGTGTTCAACCATATGAAATCGCCAACAAACTCCTGAAATTTAAATCCAAACGCTCCACGACCCCAATTGACCTCCCAATCAATATATACAAGGAGTTTGCAGTTGAACTTGCCACCCCCCTCTGTTCTATTATTAATGCATCCCTCAGACAAAGCAAATGCCCTAATGAATGGAAAACCGCATTTGTCACCCCCATCCCCAAGGTCACCACCCCACAGTCCCCTAACGACCTCAGGCCAGTTGCCATTACCCCCATACCCAGTCTACTTTGTGAGGACTTTGTTTTTGAGTGGGCATTTGCCAGTATCTATCAGTCAATTGATCCACAGCAATTTGGCAATATGAGGACCTCCTCTATATCACACTGCTTGGTGAGCTTTCTGGATTTTCTGCACAAAAACTTGCAGAAATGTAAGACATCACTGGCCGTTGCCCTTGTGGACTTCAGGAAGGCCTTTGACCTTGTTGATCACTGGACTGTTATCAACAAGGCTAGTGCACTAGGGCTGCCCATCAACCTGGTCTCATGGCTCACTGATTTCTTGAGTGGAAGTCGCCAGGCAGTGAGGTATCAGGGCTTGGTCTCTACATTCCAACACCTCACCTGCGGTGTTCCCCAGGGAACCAAGATGGGACCACTGTGTTTCCTCATCCTGATCAACGACGCTCTATCGAACACTCCTCACAGGTGGATGACTGCAATGTAGGGGTTTCAGTGGGCAACACCGCAACAGACTACTCATCGCTACAAGGTACCCTGGACAGGCTACAGGCATGGACTACGGAGAACAAGGTCACCATCAACCACACCAAAACCGTAGTCATGCACATCAATACCGCCACCACTCCAGTGCAAGCTCCAGCAGTCACAGTGGGTGCCCATCCTCTCCAGCTGGTGCAGTCTGCCAAACTCCTGGGTGCAACTAAAGACAACAAACTTGACTGGAAGGCCCATGTAAATATCACTGTCAAGGCAGCCTCGTACCCTCTCTACATGCTATGGCGACTTAGGTCACTTGGGACACCCACGCCAGAGCCGTGGACCATCAACAACGCCTTTATTCTCCCCAAACAAACATATGCGTCACCAGCCTGGTCGTCTTCTCTCAACTACAACCAACAACGTCAGCTAGAGAAGGTACAGAAAAGGGCCTGCAGAATCATGCTCAGCGCAGAATACTCCGGCTACACCAACGCTCTCTCCACCCTGGAAATGCCATCCCTCAGTGACCTCCACCACCAAGCACTGGAAAGGTTTGGCAGTGGACTACTGCACCACCCTCGTCATCGCCACC